GATAACACCATAAATATGTGGAATCATATTTGCGGTGTTATTAAACTGCAGTCTCTTTGCAGCGGTGTTTCCCGAATGCGGTTGTTCCCCTACGTAGGTGGGTAGCCAGGTGACAGGTGATTGCTGAGACTCCCCACCTTAGAAGGCAGTCCTGGAAGGCAGATTTGAACTAGCCTTTAGGCAGCTATTGGAACCAATCAGGAACCAGTTCGAACTGCCTCGGGCTCCGTGGATATTTGTGGGCTGCAGAAAATTCCCCAGGAAAGGAGTGACTAATTAGAGGCAGGTCCTTGGAGTTACTTTAAGAAGAAGCGTAGAGTTCAGGATCTGTTGCCATCCGTGGACAGGGGCATCGAGGGGAGGCCTGGGTGTGGAGAGAGCCACGCTCCGTCTACCCTGCCATAGAGCTGAGTCTGAGACAATAGACAGCCACGGCAGCAGAGTTGTCCTCCGAGGGTACAAGCTGGGTGTGCTTAATTTACATCACTACTCAGGAAAGCTCGTTTTCCTTGCCGTTTCTTCTCTCCAACCCCCAAACAAGTCCGTCATCAAAAGCTTAAACCTTAGGGTGTTTGGAATATTATGTTCAAATTTTTCTGTTTTTCTTCCTGCTTTGCATTCATCTAACAACATCTGTATATTTTTTCCCTAAATCTTCTTTTTGCTTCTCATCTCAGTCTTCTGCTTAACCACTGTTTTTATCCTTTAGAAAGAAGTAGAACTTTATTCTGAAGTTTTTCTATCTCCACTTGTTGCTGTTAACATGCATTTTCTTTGTGGACCCCTTCTGAGCTTGAGCACTAAAATAGCATCTTTGCTACTTTGTTGAGATTTTCTAGGTTTGGAGAGTACTCATTAAGGTTGGATATAATAATTTAAAAAATTCTTTCTCAGGGCTGGCCTGGTGGCGTAGTGGTTAAGTTTGTGCACTCTGCTTCAGTGGCCTGGGATTCGTGGGTTCGCATCCTGGGCGCAGACCTACACATTGCTCATCACGCCGTGCTGAGGCAGCATCCCACATGCAAAACAGAGGAAGACTGGCACAGATGTTAGCTCGGGATAATCTTCCTCAAGCAAAAGCGGAAGATTGGCACCAGATGTTAGCTCAGGGCCAATATTCCTCCAAAAAAAAAAAGAAAAAAAATTTCTTTCGTAATAATGGATTTAAGTTCTCCAAAAATCCTGGAGGACTCGTGCCTAATACAATTCACAGCTTGTCAAACCTCTTTGCTGTGAGATGTCTCTGACATGTGGAAGACTACATCAGACATATGAGCCATAAAGAATAATTACAGAGAGAACTTCTGTAACCACCACCCAGATCAAGACATGGAGTGTCGCTGGCACCCCAGCAACACCTCCGTGTGTACCCTTCCCCGTTCACAATCTCTACCCCACCCACCCCCAGCTAACCACCATACTGCCCTGTGGTCTATTTTCCTTGCTTTTTCAATTTTAGTCATACTATGCATGTAGTCTTAACTGATAAAATGAGTTTGGCCTGTTTTTGAACTTATGTAAATGAGTCATATTATAGGTATTCTTTCATAAGATCCCTTTGGTCAACATTATTGTTTGTGAAATTCACACGTCGTGTTCTGGGTAGCGTTCGTTTCCGTTGCTGTTTGAAGGTACCGCCCTTTATCCTTTCAGGGTGGGTTCAGTTTTGGGCTCCTGTAAACGATGCTGCTGCTGCGAGGGCCTGTGGCTGTGATCCCTGGGCTTCCAGTGAAGAACATGCGCGTGCTCGGGCGTGGAGTTGCTGTGTGCAGAGTAGTCACATGTTCTGCAGTTCTAGCTAATACCAGCTGTTTTCCAGAGTGGTTACATTCTTACAACTTTTAATGCCTGTATTTCTATCAAAATTGTGTAAATGGAAAATATCTTTCCTAATTTATTTTATCTCTGATCTCTAACATTAATTCAAATGATTTTAAAAAAGTGAAACAAACCAAAATGTGTTTTTATTCCCTCCACTAGTAAATTTTACCCATGTTGGTGGAAAGTAGACGTCAGATAACATAAAATAAACTGTAGTGAGAATAACTCTAGTTAGACAATGAGTATCTAACTGGGGACGAGAGAGGCAGAGAACACAGCACAGGGGCCTCCTGCTGACAGATGTTCAGGTAAGATTTGCTGGTCGGTGAATCCAGGAGTGTCTGTAATTACTGTAGGATTTTCTTTTCTCAGCAATCTACCATTCTCCCCCTAGGTTGTCCTTCCTGAGTTCTGGGGCTCCTCGTTTGCCCTTAGAACTGGATAGTGTGGACAGTTAGAATGGGAAGCATCTTATAAGTTTACTGGCTCCCAGACCACGTGCAGGTTATTAATTCAGTCAGGCACCTGTGTTAGTATTTGCTTTAAGATTGTAATCTCCCGAAAGCAGGAATGGATTTTTCAATGATTACAGGAACAGTCTGAAAGTAAGCTGTAATGACCAGAAGCTGGTTCCGGCCAGAATTCAGAGGTTAGCATTGTTTATCCCTAATGAAAAACTCCAGGATTGCTTGTGGACCGGTTTGCAGCGTTTAGAGTCAAAAACATCATAGTGTCAAAGTAAGGAGTGTTTACTTTCAGTTATTGAAAGACTGTGTGTGACTTGTTGCTTTTTTTAATTTGCCTGATTTTTCAAGTTGAGGGGACATATACATAACAAGAGTTAACGTTTTTATCATTTTTAAGTGTACAGTTCAGTGCCCTTAGCACGTTCACATTGTTATGCAACTGTCGCCACTATGCAGCTCCAAAAGCTTTTCATCGTCCCAAACTGAAACTCTGTACCCGTTAGACATTAACTCCCCTGGTCTCCTACCACCAGCCCCTGGTAATCACCATTCTACTTTTTGTCCCTATGAATTTGACTTCTCTAGGTATTTCTTATAAATGGAGTCATACAGTATTTGTCCAGCTTGTTTCACTTGGCATGAGGTCTTCAAGGTTTGTCCATGTTGCAGCATGTATCAGACAGAATTTGATTTCTCTTTTTGAGACTGAATAATATTTCATTTATGTATATACCACATTTTGTTTATCCATTCATCTGTCGATTGACGTTTGGGTTCCTTCCACCTTTTGGCTGTTGTGAATAATGCTGCTGTGAACAGGGTGTGCAAGAATCTGTTGGGGGTCCCTGCTTTTAATTGAATAGTTACTTTGTAATCTTTCTATACCAAACTCTTTTCCTAGTGTTGATTTGGTGATGTACTTCCCTTAGAAGCTAGTTATATCCTTAGTAATCAGTTATATCCTCCTTTTCTCATCCTCATGAGAAAATAAGGCACAAAGAAGGCAAGTGTGCAATATCATCCATTTCTGTTAATTAGTACTCCAGCCTCTCAGTAATTAGGATAGTATGATTATTTTTTTGTTGTTACCCTTTTGTATCCATTGTCCATTTGAGTAATAATAAGGGTGCATGTCATTTTTTCTTAAAATATCTGCCTTATTTGTTTTGTGTATATGGTTCTTTATAATTTAAAACTTTCGTTAAAAACCATAGCAATATATAAAACTTTTATCTGTGCTTTTACTATGGAAATTTATCCTACACACTTTAGTATGATAGTTATTTGAGGCTTACATTTTGGAGAGTTAGCATATATCATTGGTTTTCAAACTTTTTGACCTTAGGGCTCCTTTAGATTCTTAAAAATTATTGAAAATCTAAAAGAGCTTTTGTTTATGTGGGTGTTAGCTATTCGTGTTTACCATATTAGAAATTAAAACTGAGAAGTTGAAAAATTTTTACTAATTCATTTAAAAATAATAAGCCTGCTAAATGTTATAAATAATATGTTTTATGAAAAATAACTGTATTTTCTAACTGAAAAATGTACTGAGAAGAGTGGCATTATTTTACGTTTTGGCAAAATATCTTTAATGTCCGACTCAGTGAGACGGTAGCTGGATTCTCGTATCCGCGTCTGCATTCTGTCTGTTGCAGTATGCTGTTTTTGATGAGATGTATGAAGATCTGGCCTCACACAGGTATGTAGTTGGAAAAGGAGGAGTATTTTAATAGTCTTTTTAGATAAACATGGATATTTTTCTTTGATGCTATACCAAAACTCAACAAGTGGTAGTTTCTTTTTTTTTTTAAAATTGAGTTCATAATAGTTGACATCAATGTGAGATTTCAGTTGTACGTTATTTCTTGTCTGTCACCACATGAGTGCTGCCCTTCACCCCCTGTGCCAACCCCCATCCCCCTTCCCTTGGTAACCACTGAACTGTTCTCTTTGTCCATGTGTTTCTTTATATTCCACACATGAGTGACATCGTCTGGTGTTTGTCTGGAATTTTAGAAAGGTCACTCTGAGGGCCCTCTGGAAGGTGGGATGGTCCGGGGCAGTTAGGGACCGAGTCGTCCAGTGTGTTTGTGGACGTGGTGCGGGCCTGGCCTGAAGGCAGTTGGGAGGAAGAGTATGCCTTACTGGAGACAGTCTCTGGGACTTCATTGCTAGCAGACAGGCTTCAAGCTGAGAAAGCAGCTGTGCTTTGCTCTGTGACCTGCCAGCAGTCGGGGCTTGGATGGGCTTTCCAGGCCCTTGCTGCCTTCAATGAATATCTTCTACCGATAGTGAAAAAAGGCGATTCAGGTAGCTTTTCTGAGCCTCCTCGGTCTCCTTTTTGAGGATGCCTGCTTACCCGGGATGATGGCTTCTGCAGGGGTGAAGCTGCACAGTCAGCCCCAGGGTCTTAGAAAGGGCTGCACGTTGGGGGAGAACAGAGGCAGTGACTTCATCCAGATGTGCCAGCCACTGGAAGGCCTAATAGGCTGCACGCGGCGCTCAGACCCCTCAGGTTGTCTGTCGCCTGTAAGTTGGCAAGGTGCACCCTTTCCTATTTGAACTTTCCCGCTCAATGCAGTCAGCAGCTCCATCTGATAAACGTTAGTGTAAAGATGGGTCTCCAATTTGTTGCAGCGATATTCTCTTAGAACCTTTATTCTTCAGAATTTTAAAGTGTTTTTTTTTTAAATCTTATTTGTTTTACAGACTTATAAGACTCCAGGGCCTTCAAGCTGCGATTAATCAGATGGTTCCTGACATGACTGAGAAAACAGACGCATTGCGTGCCCCTGAAGAGTGTGTGTCTCTGCGTGTTTAATCCTTCTTCCTGTACACACGCGTTTGACACGGGAAGACAGGCTCGTTCTTGTGCACACTTGAAGAGTTTCACAACTGATGAAAATTAATTTCAGAATCCGATGGAGCAACTTGACACCACTGGGCTCCGGCGCCCAGGGAGAGAAATACAGCACTGATGGCCAGTTTTCCATGTGGTCTTCACGGGTAAAGAAAGTTTGCAAAAAGAAGAAAAAAAAAATCTTGCATAGATCAAGCCTCAAAAATACCTCTCCAGTTGAAAGCAAGAGCTAAGTGAGAAGGTGACCGAGGAGAAGTGTGACTTCTGGCACTGCAGGTGGGACCATGAAGTGTTTTTTGCACTTTTTTTTCCAGTGGATTTGGTGAATTGGACAGACTTTAAAATTCTGGACTGAAGGTGACTCTGACTGTGGCTTATGACTGCAGGAAAGTGAGTTTGGCTGTGATGGCACAGGTTTCAACATGAACCGATTCCTTTGCTGTTTTCTGTTAACTGTATTCGAGAAATTTTGGTTTCTCATTTCCCTTTTCCTTTCCTGTATCTGTAGGATAACATCCTAAGGTGGCAATCGAAACTGCCAATTACAAAGTAAATATCGGGGAACGCCCAAGCAAAGCTGCTTTTCCTTGGGCTTTCCGTGTGTGTTGGGAGACGGTCTCTGAAGCAGAGCGGGAGCGTGCCCATCAGCCAAACATGATAACCCTTTAGGGAAACAGTGGGGAGGAACCCAGCTCTCACGTGTGTTTTCGACTTGCTCCTGTGTTTTCGTTTCAAGGGATTCTCGTCCTTGTTGCGTCCAAGAAGACCTGCATATGAGAAGAGGATTACTTAGTGGACTTGATTCTGAGATTAGTTTTTTTCCTTCAAGATGGAAGAATATGTGATCTCTAGGAGCAGAAAAGGGCGAAGTGACTAGGGGAGGGAGGAAGGAGACAGGGACAAAGGAGACGTCTTGTCAGCAGGAGGATTTGGGGTTCAGCCGAGGCAACCAACGCTTGGACCGCTTTGAGAGCATTCGAGCATCCTGGCTCCGCCCAGTGAAGGCGCTTGCTTTCTTTGCCTCTATGGCACCGAGGGGTGCGTGGGCCTGCGGAGTGGCAGTCAGATGGAGCCCAGCTCTCCACGGCCACACAGCAGCCTGCCGGGAAGCCGGGCCTGGCTCTGAGTGGGGAAGTTTCTGGTTCTGAACAGCGAAGAAAGAGTCTTGTTCTCTTCCTAAGCTTGGACCACTGTCTGCCTGAGCTCTGGTCTCTTTTGCACGGTTTGTGTGCCTTTTTTTCCCTTTATGCAATCTTTTTCAGCTTTAGCAGCAGAAATTTGTCTAGTTGAGAAAACGTGCCAGAGGGTGGCTTCAGAAGGAAAGTGATCCCGTGTGTTCTGTCTCAGCGTCTGGACTTTTGAAGAGAAAATTCCAGCTGGAGGGATTCTTAAAGCCTTAAGTTACTTGAAATCTATGTATTTGCAACCCTGTGTCTCTGGAATCCTATGACACTAAACTGGAATCTCAGGCTGAATGAGAATAACCAAGTTGAGTAAAAAGAAGAAAACTCGGTTTCTTGATACCACGTGTTAACGATGCTCTTTCTCCAAAGGGTCAGCCCGTTCTTCCTCTAAGGACTTGAAAATAAAAATGGACCCCGCATTTTTTTTAAGCATCACCTTTTCTTAGCAGACTGCCGTCATCTTTTATAGAGGAATTTTTTCACTATGCATTTGGTGGATCTTTATAAAATACCCTCTGATTAGACCCAGGTCTGTCTTCATTAAAGGGTCGGGGGAGACAACGCAAGCCAACCAGAGAGAGCAAATCCGTCCCTCGACGCGAGGAGTTGGTTTCAATCTCCCGGCATTCCGCGTTACTCTTTAAGTCGAACAGTTCATCCAGAAAAAGTATGTATGCGGCGGTGGAGCATGGGCCTGTCCTCTGCAGTGACTCCAACATCCTCTGCCTGTCCTGGAAGGGGCGCGTCCCCAAGAGCGAGAAGGAGAAGCCGGTGTGCAGGAGGCGCTCCTACGAGGAGGGCTGGCTGGCCACAGGCAACGGCCGGGGCGTCGTCGGGGTGACTTTCACCTCAAGCCACTGCCGCCGGGACAGGAACACGCCACAGAGGGTGAACTTCAATCTGCGGGGCCACAACAGCGAGGTGAGCTGGCGTTTTGTTTCACTTTCGTCTGATTACCGCAAGTGGTGTTCTGGACACCAGGGACACCAGGGTGGCTTTCTCACCTGGGGGGGGGCGTGGATTAGACTGTCCTAAGCAGCCTCTCGTGCTCTGAGCCATTATGGTCACCGTGGATCCTGCCCCAGTGTCAGACTGGCAGGGTAAGCAGTGCCGGCGGCGCCGTCTTCGCCCTCCGCAGTTACCGTGTGCATGGCTTCGGTGCTGGGTGAACACCAGCTTACGTTCCTTATACTTGGAGGTGACCAAAGGGATTAAGTGGTCAGAGGTGAAAGGAGTAATTGATTGGACAGGAGCGAGAGTTTTTCACATCTATTGGGTATATTATATGAGGATATTATGCTGCATATATCCATAGATAGATTTCTCTGGGCTTGTAAAACATCAGCAGTGTCATTGTGACATTTGTTCAACCGTCATTTATTGAGAATGCTTGTGTTAGGCGCTGTGTTTGAAGAGGTGCACTTGCATGGCATGGTTACACTGTTTGTGCTTCGCTGTTCACGAGCTCATTTGTGTGTTTTCTTGTGAGGAATCTGTCTTGAAATGTCATTGGAGGGTTATTGTTAGTTGCTGTAAAGGAGGAAGAGTATTTTTGAAGCATGGCGTACAGTGACGTCGTTCATCTTTGGCGTGCGCTCAGCGCTTCTTTACACGCGCAGTCAGCCATGTAGCCTCCACCAGATGAAGGTGTGGAGCGTTTCCAGCACCTCACAGATCCCTCTGCCCCTGCCCAGGCTGCGCTTCCCTGAGGGGTGCCCCAGACTCTGACTTCCGTCCCGCAGACGGGTGGGCCTGTGCTTGAACTTCACGTCCGCGGAATCATCTCGGTGTCTGGCTTCTTCCACTCAACATGCTGTCTGTGGGGTTCGTCCCTTTTGTGTGTGCTGTTAATTTGTTCTCTTAGTTGGTGTCAGCTTCCACTGAAGGAAGAAACTGTGGCTTTTCCATTCTTTTGTTGATGGGCATTTGAATTGCTCCCAGGTTTTGCGTCTTATGGCTAAACCTGCTATGAACATCTGTGGGTCTCTACGGGTCTCTGCACTCTCAGAGTGGAGTTTCTGAGTCGTAGAGTAGGTGTACATTAGCTTTAGTAGAAATTGCCAAATAGTTTTCCAGAGAGATTGTACCATTCTGTACCCTCACCATCAGTGTATGAAAGTTTCAGTTGTGCAAGAAGCCTCTTTTGGATTTGAAGTTTTCATATTAAAAATGTGGTTTATGCAAGGAATTATGTTTTACAAATACTTTATACTTACGACATATACTCATTCACACCCATACACATATACACATATACATGCATATATCTGTAATTTTTAAGTGGATAACTTCTTAAAAGGTGTGTTTTTCTAATGCTTTGTGACAAATTACAGTGAACTTAGTGGCATACAATACCCACTTTGTATCTCACAGTTCTGTAGGCCTGAAATGCTGGCCTGGTGTAGCCGGGTCCTCTGCTTGGCATCTCACAAGGCTGGGAAATGACTGTGTGTCAACAAGGACTGTGATCTCGTCGGAGGCTCAGGGTCCTCCTCCAGGCTTGTTCAGATTGTTAGCAGTATCATTTCCTTGCAGGTGTAGGCCTGAGGTCCTCGGCTCCTGGAGGCCACCCAGCGTGCCCTGCCACATGCCACCATGCCCTGCCACATGGCCCTTGCCGCATGGCCCTTGCCGCAGCATAGCAGTTTGCTTCTTCAAGGCCCGCAGGAGAGCATCTGCCATGGCTTCGGATTTCTCTGACTTTCTATCTCTGAAGAAGGGCTCACTGGATTAGATCAGGCCCACCCACACTCCAGGAGGGGGGGATTATTCAGGGTATGCACACCAGGGGGTGCTACTTTTGAATTCTGACTGCCAGAAAAGAGGACTTATAATTCCCAGTGGCATGGATATTTCACTAGTGAAACTTTCCTGTGGTTTTCTTCCATTTTGCATTTTTAGTTTTACTTGATATCTATTCTTTGTATTAAGATAGTTGCTATTTATTGAGTGCTTCCCAAGTAGGGTGACCAGCCTTCCTGGTTTCCCGGGATGTGGGACTGACGTCAGTGCTAAAACTGGGAAAGTCACAGGCAAACGGGGATGGTTGGTCATCTTACTGCCAACTGCCAGACGTGGCACGAGGCACCTTCTGACCTTGTTGCCTTGTGTGGTTTGCACAGCAGCCTTAGGGGTAGGTATCATTGTTCCCATTTTACAGGTCAGAAAACTAAGTCTCATCAGTGTTAAATACCTTGACTGAGTTCATACAGTTCATGTGGAGGAAAGCTGGAATTTGAACCCCAGGCCCTACCATTCTCCTTCACTTTATCTTTATTTTCTTAAAAACCTGTTCCATGTAAGCCCACAGGCCCTTATCCATAGTTGTGAAATCGAAGGGCTCTGAAAGTGGAAAGTGTTTGTGTAACTAGTTGACTGGGGGGACCTGACCTGATGTGAGGCTGTTTACTGTCCTCACCCATCGCTTCAGCTCCAGAAATAGGTCTGTGTTTTATTGTGGGTGTTACCCAGACCCTGCTGGGCTGCTGTGTAATTCATGGGGTCTGCCTTGTATTACTTTTTTAAAATTTCAGAAACTCTGAATTTCAGAATGTATCTGGCACAAGGATTTGGCGTGAGAGATTGTGAACCTGTATGTTCGTTTAAGGGCGTCGTGAAAAGCGGCCTCTGAGGGGTTTTCTCTTCTTTTCATTTCTGGGAGGAATGACATTTACCTCATCTCTGTCCATTACTTAGTTGCCTTGTCTTCACTCCCCTTCCACCAAAACGAGCAGAAGAACCCTCCCGCCACCCGCCACGCCCTGAAACTCCAGTGAGAACTGTGGCAAGGTCGTGACTCTCTGGCCATAGGACGAAACCAAGTTGCAGACGTCAGATCTGGTAATCTGCTGATTGCGCAACTGAAGAACTTGGGAATGTTTTTCTTCTAGAAAACAATTTCTTGCAGATATTACTGATGTCACGCAAGTTAGTCATGGTTAGGACTGATTTTCATTTAACGAGATTTTCTTCACTTGAGAGCAGACAGGCAGCCCTGCGTGTGCGGTAGAATTCGTTTCATTACAGAGACATCCCCCATGGGAATAGTCTCCCCTGGATTCTTGGATTTGTTGCTGCTTCTCTGAGAAGTTTTTTCTGACCCCATCTCCCCCACCCCCGCTTACCCCCCTGTGCACGGAACAGACTTCTTTGGGGGCGCTGGGAAGGCTGTCTTATAGTTACCTGCTTCTGTGGGTTGGTAAAACTTGCTGGAAGCTTGTCTATCCTTGTGGTCGTAACTTCCTTGCCTCCCATTGTTTAAAAGGTCACATTTATTTTAGTTTGCATTAACTTGTTAGCCCACTTCAGTGTGGCTTCTTTCCCCACCACTCTACTGAAATGGTCACGTTCCCAGTGACCTCACATTGCTGACCCTGTCGGTCACTTTACTGCCCTCGCTGTCTCTATGGCATCCAGTAGAGCGGAAACATTATTTTCTCTTGCTTTCCAGGACACCACGCTCTCCTGGTTTCCTCTGACCTTTCCGGCCTCTACTTTCCATTTTTCTTTGCTAGTTCTGCCTGTTTTCACCTCATCTTGAAATGTTGGAGGGGCTCAGGCATGCATCTTTTTCTAGGTGATCTCTGAGTTGCCTTGAAATCCACCTGTTTGCTGGTGACTCCCAAATTTATATCTCCCACCTGCCGTCACCCTCTGGTTCCAGACTCCATTCTTCGGCAGGATTTATGAGATGCAGAATGGGACAGCAGTCACTGGGCATCTCAAACTGCAGGTCACCCACAGAGAACTCGTTTTCCCATTGCCCGTCAGCCTCTGAACCTGTTCCACCCTCTGTCTTCTCCATCTCAGTCGGTGGCCCCAAGACCAGCCAGCCAGTCACGCGTACAACACCGTCTCTCCCTGCCCCCTCCTTGTTCCCAGATCCGGTTACTAGCAAGACCTCCCGCTGTATTCGACCTCTAGGTGATGTCTAAAGACGCCTGCGTCTCTGCTTCCCCACCATCATGCTGGCACCAGACTCCTCACCCATCTTCTGATTTAAACTCTGCTGTTTAACCCATTGTGGAGGCCTTTACTTAAGAGTGTCTTCTCTTAATTTCTGAAGTCATGTTAAAATATTCTAAAAAATTTATATCTAATGTACTTTATCTTTTCTTTTTCCTAAAAGCACGGTATGACTTGTGTCACAGTCCCCCAAAGAGTGGGAATTTCTAGACTATAAGAATGATCTCCCTCGCAGTTGAATCTTAGTTTTCTGTTGCGCTGCGCAGTGGCTCTCAAAACCCTCCTTTCTCTGGTTCGCTCTCTCTCCTCGAAGACCCAGAGCTGCTGGTGGACTGCCGAGCCTCGTCCTGTTTTGGTGTCACCGTGTGTGGTGACGATCAGCCTTTTTAGACTTAGGAGGCATTTGAAAACCACTTTGGTTTTTAAAACATTTCTGCAGGATTTAGGATATTTAAGGATCTATACACTAATTCTAGGGAGAAAATTTGGCTAATTTTGGATTGAAGCCAGTGAAAATTCTCTGCAGACTTTTTATCTTCCTTATAAATTCTTCATGAAGGGTGACTTTTACTAGATTCGTGAGCAGCCTCTGTGGTGTCCTACTGATGGACCTAAGGGAGGACTCTGTTTATTTCCTGTGGTGATGTCTGTTCTTTCCCCTCTGCTGTTCCTGTTTTTTCCTATCTCCATTTCAAGAAGTTCTGGCTCAACCATTTAACTGCCTTGTGTGGTCCTGCCCAAGTCATTCAAGGCATTCGTTTGCTCAGGGTTAAATTCAAATGATAATTTGCTTCTTTCAGAGTTATGAGAATCTGTGAGAATCCATTTTTGAACAGGCTTTGAAAACGGTGAATGCCGTGTATATAAATGGTGATGCTATAGCACCTCCTATGCTGTTTACCTAACTGTATTCTTACCTCCCAGTCCTTATGACATCACTTAATACCCTTAAATTC